CCCCACATAAATGCGACCACATTTACTAGTTTGAAGAATTAACTTCTCTTTCAGTGGTCCTCATAGTAATTATCCTTCCCATTCCTCATCCCAATATGCAACAGTAGTGTCTAAGACATTGTATGAGGTTTTTTGTTCTGATTAGTGGTTACCATTTAAATTGCCTTATTTTTCAGAATTAAATTTCTACTGAGATTAAGTGATTTACCTGATCTATCATTTCTTCTTGTTTAGAGACATTTTTTGAACTATAAGCCTTTTAAGGTAGAAAACTAGAAATCTTTTTGTATAAATTGTGCAGAAAAGAGACATTGCGGTACAAATCTCTAAAGGAGATATTTGTTAATACTTGTACTGCTAAAACCAGTATTGGACTGTACAGTCAAAACAATAATTATTTTTAGTAATGCTTACACTGAGCAACTCTCTTTTGCTGTGGAAAGCTTATTATTCAATAAACATTGCTTTAGAACCATGAAATATGAAAGAGGGCCTAAGTATATGACTTTGTTTTCAAAGAGATTTAACTATATAATAACAGGACTACCATCAAAAGCTTCTTGTTCTTCGATCTTATCATTTGTCAGGAGAATAAAAATCATAATAATCATGCCATCACGGCCAACAATTCAGAAGTGAATTCCCAAGCGTGGCTGTAAAACAACTGCAAATTTACTCCCAAGTAATCAGATCTCCCAACAACTTCACCTGCAAGCATCTAGAAGAGTGTAATAACAACTTACCTCAATTATTCGGTGTTTTCAAGGATTTTCTGCAACTCATTTCTTTCTGGGCAAGAGCAGAGATAAATTATGAATCTTGTCTGCACTACCAAAACCATTTAGAACTCTCACTCAGACTCCAATGCAATGTCAGTCTAGTTCTAATTTTAACCTACGCTGAGAATAGAAGGTATCACATGAGGCCCTTCGGCAAAACCCCCAAGCATTTACCACTCTTAATGTCTTCCCAGTTTGCTGAACGTGACTGGACTCCCATTAACAAAAGTCACAAATTGTGAGCAAAAAGAACAAAGGAGTACTTGTTATGCTCCACAATGACAAATAATCTAGTTTTGAACTCAAAATTACAAGTACTTGCTTTAGTAATGTTTCTCTGCAAGATAACTGAGCTTCAAAGTGCTATTAAACAGCAACACTGACTAGTTAGACTAGGAAAGGTATTACATCACTAAGTATTTTACTCATTACTTTTGCCCATGCTGAAGAATTCTCTTGTTGAAGAATTTTAGTGCAAATTGTCAAAGTCCAGACAGAAAAGTAATCTTTATCAGGATGTGCAGAGGGGTGGTTATTCACCCCTTTTCATGCTTCCAATCATGAAACATTAACATTCTGTTTCTTCAAAGAGCCCTTGGAGAAAACAACAACTCTGCCAGAACCTTTTTCTTCAACCACATGGAGAGAGAGCAATAATCACAGCTCACTGTTTGAGGCAGAAGCCGTAAAACTGGATCGTTCTAACCAGTTCTGCACTGGAGTATAAAAAGTGAAGATGAGATTTTTAAAATATCATTCATTTGGTTATAACCCTCTTTCAGTAGAAATAATTCTTCCTCATTATTAGCCTTAGATTCTAGCATTACTACATAGAACTTAATAACCAAAAACCCCCTCCAGTCCGTGACCAACTACCTACCTGAACACCAATACCTATTTAAAAAGACACTAACTGCTTTAGCTTTCAACCTTCTACGCTTTTTTTTTTTTTTAAAGTTATGCAAAAGCAACAATGATCCAACAGGTTCTTTCGTATAGGTATTTCTTCTTTCAGTTTTGGTATAGATTCAATCCCCAGAGTGCTTTTAATCAATGTTTTTTCTTGATCTAAAAAAGTCATAACTAAAAACCTAACTACTTAATTTCCTCCTCCTTAAAAGAGACAGATAATTAGAGCCAGGAAAAAAAAATAACCTTCCCTTTTATTAGAGTTTTGAGACACAAAGAAATTTCAAGCCCCTTGTGCGAGCAAAATATATTCTCAAATATTTAAAAATCACTTTATTGCTTGCTATCATACATTTATATTTCCTCAATTTATTTTCTCCATGGTTATCAGATTGAAAAATACACTATTCAGACTAAGCCCTTACCACAACAATACACTTGTAGGAAAGTAGCCATTAGGCTGTGTTCTTTTGGTAGTCTTGAGTGCAGTAGGTTCTTTGAGATAAGAAGAAATAGAAGTTTGAGTCACCTGTACAGGATTGCCTGCATAAAATTCACAAATAGAAACAATATTACTACGATTCTTTGTGACTATTTTTTTTATTAGGAATAAATAAATCTGATAAAAATGAAATAGGTGATAAGCATGATATATTAGTCAAACTTTGCAAGAAATGATCTATATATAAAAGACCCTTATACCACAATAGAAATATAAATAGCACCTTACATGTATGCTCCCGCTCCCTCCCCAGCATGACCAGCTTTCCCCTTGCTCAGTCTCAGCATCAAGGATAGTGGAGATTCTACCTCTCGTAGCTTATGTCTTGCATCTTCACAGCTAAATGCGATAGACAACTTTTGTCTACACTTTTGGAGAATGCTCCTGTAGAGGCAGTTTTTGATATACCTAAAAAAAGGAGAAAATGTCCATTTTGTGCCTCACAAATTAATTTTTAAGGCCACGTAACTGTCTTTTCTTGTGTCTGTTTGCAACTTATGTTTCTAGAAGGTATTTATATCCAACGGTTTTCTTTGTATCTCCTGTTAAATAACCAGTGCAATCCTCATCATGTTTAGTTTGCCTTAAAGCCCCATAACTGTTGTCTGTTCTGAAGGCATTAACTTGACCCTATTCATTTTGTGCCTCATAGCTGAATTTAAAAAGTCCTTATCTCACATAGTGGTTTTTTAATGTTAATTCTTTGTTGTATCTCATTAATCTGTCAAATTCTAGCATCCGAACATCAATAATACAAGGTGATGCAAGCTTTTAGAATGCATTCTGCCTACCATCAGGCTTACCTAATGACAGAATAACAAATGAGATCCTCCTTTTTTTCTTTTTTTTTTTTAACAGAAGCTTTCTATAAGAAACAAAAATAACTGGAAAGTATTTAAGGACTGCAACTACTTCCAGCCTACAAAAATACAGGATATTCTATAGAGTATTAAGGCCCTGATACTTATCAATAAATGTTATCAGTAAGCATTTGAATAAATGTGGCCTCTTCATTTATAATTTGATAAAGAGTACCTGTGCAAGTAATTGCCAGGAAAAAGTGTACTAGCAAAAGACTTGAGAGGTTTACTCAGTTAAACAACAAAAAGCTCTCTGGACATTGTACAGCAGAAGCATAAAAGGCATTTTATTTGTATATGATTTTTGCATAACTTCTTTTGGGAATTTGGATATTATTTGTTAAAATAAATTTACGTGTCCAACAAGGAAGAACTATGAGTATTTCCCTTCAAAACAGGTTAATCAGATTATAAATACCACAGATGTAGATCAGTGTCATTCAGTCACATCAGCCTCACAACCGTATGTATTGTAAAAGGCAAAATCAAGACATTCCGTCACCATATCCAGAAGTCACGCCATGACCTATTAAATTTGACAGTCTGCTGTAGAAGAAATTACAGCATTACTAATTAAAAGAAGTAACAACTAATTGACAGACTGATATCAGCTGTTGAGAACTTTTAACCATATAAAATTATTATATAATGTGAGTAGCAAAGGGCACGTGCTAGCAGAGCCAGCTTTTATAATTATTCAGTCCAATCCACAAAGTTTAAAGGCATGTTTCTAGCCATGGTTTCCTTTATTTAAGGTCTAGCAGCATCAAAGCAGGGTTCTCCAAGTAAGATTTCCACAAGTTAGAAAACCGGGCCATTGTAGCTCCATCAATGATGCGGTGATCAGCTGACCAACTCACATTCATTATCTGTGCTTTAAATACTTCACCTTTTCCATTAAACCGAGGAAGAACCTAAAAATCAGAGGAAGGAAAAAAAATAGCAATGTTGAATACTTTCATTAACAAATCTGTATTTTTTTTTTATTGTTAATTTGTTAATCTAAATTTAAACATTTTGCTAAATTAGACAAACAGCAGTAGTGCCATTCAAAAAACAAAGATCTTCCCACTATTGTTTGTGCTGCAGATTAGAATATATTGCAAACCTACATAATAAACAGTCATATCCTGTTTCCACCATCACGGAAGTACTGAAGTAGTGAAAACCTTTCTTGACTCAAAAGTTTCTTCCTGAATAGTTTATTGCACTGTTAGTGCTTAATGTGATGGTCTCCTTAAAGCATTCCCTAAACAAAAGGCTCACAGAAAGAACATAGAAAAAGTACCTTAAATTAATACTAATTTCATTTCCAGCACTGATCTCAAACGTCTACGTTAAAGAATTAAAGCCTGAAACTCAGAAAATATGAAACTACCTTCATCACACAGAGTTCTGTATGGATTCAGCTATCTGGGTCATGCAATTAAACTTCACTATCAGAATAGTTTTCTCCTTGATAATAGCAAAAATGTTATTGCCATGTTGCAAAACTTGTAAAAATATAGTTACGTTGTTTCTTAACAACTAGAAGGCTAAACATAGATGTGAGTGAAATATAACAGGATTCTAGAAAACAAATCTGAACTTTCGGCATAAGAGACTTCTATTTAAACATCTGGTGTCTCTGCACAGTCGTCTGAAAACAGCACAAAAACTTTTCAATGACAAGCTGTGCAGATTCTGCACCACAAAGAGGAAGTGTTTATATAATAAAAACAAAGGGACACTTCACATTTCATTTTCATTACAGATGACCTTAGCTAGCTAAACACTCACATCACTGAGATAAAGTTAATATACCTGTATCTTTCCAAGTGCTCCAATAGCTACTTCAGGAGGTAGTATCACTGGTTTGGCATAAGTGCCACCAATCTAGAAAACAAAAAGCTGGGGATATTAGTTAACAATTTTTTTCCAAAGCGATTGCCTCTTGCATTACTTGCTACAGGTTTTGCTTGTTGCATATTAAACTTTACTGAGGTATTCATTTCAGAAGCAGTTTTCAGATGTAAGTTCTCATTTTTCCTGTACTTACTGTGCCAATATTTGAAAGGGTGAATGTTCCCCCAGTGAGGTCATTTGTTCCCAGTTGGCCTGCAGAGCCCAAGGACTGTAGGCGATTTAATTCAGAAGCAATCTCAAACAAACTACAGACTTGAACATTTTTCACATTCGGGACAATTAAACCTTGTTCTGTGTCCATAGCAACTCCAATGTTGTGCGAAGCCTGCAACAAGTTGCATTAACCGGACATTAACACAAGCAGTCAACATAAAATGTATTTTACACAAAAAAGCACTTGAATAATGTCTTCCTTATATATCTTTTTAACCTAGAAAGTGCTGTCTGTAATAAGCAACTCCTCTATACAACTTTGAGGGGAGAAGGGGATGTCAGTTTTCAAATATTAGCTTTCCACATCTGCAAAGTGCAAATTGATTTTGGCAACTTCACATCCAGGAAATACAAAATTCTGGAATCAGTTTCACACTGAAAATATTTCACTTTAGGATGTTTATACGCGTAACGAAACATGACTAGCAGATTTTAAAGAGAACACGAACATAAAAAAAAAAAAAGAAAAAGAAACTGAGTTGCCTTTCATTTTCTAGAAGGAATATATAAGGATTCATCTGAGAGATATTGATAAAACAGCACAAAAGGAGTTTGTACTGCAAGGAGTATGTAAACATGACTTAAGAAAACAGACACTCGCTGCCCAGAAGTATCAATGCAGCAACTTGTATGAAAATTACATCATTTTTTTCAAAACTGAGTTTAAAATGTGACTTTAATTTGTAAGGATCGAGTGCTGGAACAGTGGAACCACTGTGCCATTACCAAAAAATTACTGTATTAGATTTTAAATGTTCTCATTTTAAATGCTTGGCCCACCTTCAGGTGAAAAATAGGAAATCACTATATTAATACGCATTTCTGAGGCAAGCCTGAATAACTAAGTGACTCTCATTAAACAAACTACTGAAGTAAGATCAATAATAAATCAAATCCAGCCTTAGAATCTGGACACACAAATTATTTTCCAGCACAACATCATAATTTTGGTCCTTACAGTTAGCTCAGACATTCCAAAAAGCCCTTGTTAGCTGTTAGTTTCAGTTTTCCGCTCACAACTTTTATCAGTAGTTTACTAACCTTATATGTGACATTTTGACAGCTTTCATCCAAAGAAGCATTAAGAATGGGATACTGTAATAATCCCAGAGAGGCTGCCTGTTAAATATAAAAGAAAAAAAAAAAGAGATAGATTTTTTTTATAACTGGAGAGCTGCATGGACAGGAAGGAACAGTAGGAGACAATTTAGATTAATAACAATATTAATTTCCTCAATGCAATCAAATTTGGCTTATACTCTCCTAAACTTGTCTGTTGATATTCTGTCATTATTAGGATAGCAGAAGAAAAAGACAACTTACAAAACCCAAATATAGAGCAGACAGACATATAAAAAGTGATAATCCCTTTCCCAAGTGTAACTGTTGAAGTTGAATCCGCATTTGTTATTTCTCTTCCACAATTCAAATCAAATATCCCAAGACAAAAGTTACGAGAGTCAGCAGCAATGTCATTCTCAGCTCTCCACTTCAATGATGATTATTTCAAGGAAGTAATATTAATTTCCCCTAAAGAGAGTGAGCAGAGTGAGTGCTTACTCAGCACTCTAATTGAAATTACCAGACGTTTCAGACTAAGCTATGCACTCAGTGAGCAGCTTAGGCAGTGCGTCAGCCTTCATTGATGCCAACAGCTGGAAATGGAACCGTGGCAACTACATGAGTGCAAGCGCCTGCTCTTCTGAGCAACAGAAGAGACATACTCATTCACCTGAGGGTTTCATTAACAACAAAAATATAATAACAATAACAAAAATAATGATGCATTTCACGTGAGTTTCATTTCAATGGAGCTCAAAAAAAATACCGACAATTTCCAAAATTTGTTTTGTGTAATTCAAACACCCAGTGAGGCTCACTCCCATAATGAACAATGCTTTATCTGCTCTATCCTTCCCCGTCAATATTTCAAAAATTTTCCATATTATGTAACGCTAACTACAACTCCAACAGTAAATTCATAAGTGGTTCAATAAACAAGAAAAGTTGAGTCTTTTCTTGTGACCTGTAATTATTCAGATGATAGAGAGATGCCCCAAACTTACAATGGTCACTGATCAGATTTTGGCAAAATCTGTGTAAGTACTCCACACAGTGCTCTGCTGCACGTCTCACCTTTATGAAGAAAGGCATAAAGGAAAGCTTAACTCCGCGAATTTGTGCTACAGGTTTCAGTTCTTCCCGCAACTGAACAAGCTGAGTCAAGTCAATCTCATCACAATAACCAAAGTGGGGTATCTTCAGGGCTGCACTCATAGTCTTTACCATTGCCTTTTGAAAACCTGGAAAATATTCACTGACTTCTTAAACCAACAAAATGAGCTTCTGGGAAGTTATGGTGAAATTCCAATTATTTGTTTCCATTAAATGACCCACCTTAAAAAAAACCAAACCAAACCAAACCCCGACCACAACAAAAAAACGGACAGGGTAAAGCTCACTTCAGGATCAACAGTTATTCAGCACATGCAACTCAATTTTTATGATTGTAGTATTTCAGATTATATCGTTGTCCAAAACTGATGCTGCTATAGATGTCCATCGTAAGGCCCTACCCTAACTATGCTTTTGTTTAGTGAACAGACTGTCTGAGAGCAGAACTCCTGGTGATGTATCACTGACTTGATGAGTAAACCATGAGAAGCTGCTTGAGATCTGCCAAGAAAGAAATTAGGGGAAAGGAATTGCAGCGGGGGGAGATCACGACCACCAACGCAAGAGCCCCTTACCACAATTACACCCAGACTCAAATTGAAGGACAACTGAGCATGCTCTCTACAACTTATCTTATCGCTCTCTACCACTACCTGAAAGGAGGTTGTAGTGAGGTGGGTGTTGGTCTCTTCTCCCAAGTAGTTAGTGATAGGACGAGAGGAAATGGGCTTAAGCTGCGCCAGGGGAGGTTTAGGCTGGAAATTAGGAAAAATTTCTTTATGGAAAGGGTGGTCAAGCATTGGAACAGGCTGCCCAGAGAGGTGGTGGAGTCCCCATCCCTGGAAGTGTTCAAAAAACGGGCAGAGGTGGCACTTGGGGACATGGTTCAGTCTAGTCTACCCTTGATTGGTTTAGTGTGGACTTGGTAGTGTAGGTTAATGGTTGGACTGGATGATCTTAAAGGTCTTTCCCAACCTAAATGATTCTATGATTCTATTCTATGATTCTCATTAATTTACATACTAGGCAAAGAAATTTTAACCAGTCATAACCCTGCATATGTATTAGGGAATTAAGTATGGTAATTAATGTGTATAAATAGATGCTAACTTGATGATTTGCGGTGCTAGCTTAGTGTAAAGCCACCTACCACCCACACTTGCGCAACTTTGTGAATAAACAGTATCTCGCCTCGGTGTGTGAAGATTGGCTTATTGCACACCGGGTAAATGAGCCCTATTTTGGGACAACAATATTGCTGCATAACTCTCCTATGTATGTATGTATGTATTTGAAATCATACTACAGCAATCTGCACTATTCTTTCCAGCCTCTCCAAATAAACACTGCCTGAAAGGCAAGCAGAAACCTTTTATCTTCCTCTTTTACTGTGATTTTTCTTACTTTGGTGTCTTTTGTCGCATTCTTCTCCAGAACAAGTGTGAATGCTGAAGTACGCTATTATTAAGCACTGATAAGCCCTTAAATTCACTGCACTTTGCCACTAATTGCATAATGATTCATACTGTGACAAATTCACATGTGTTTCAGAATTCCTACCTGTTTCATTTGAAGAAACACAGATTAAAAATGAGCAAGTGCAACTAGTAGCCCAACTCCATCCAACCACAACATGAAGAATTATCTCATAAAATAATAATTTCATCCAACACCTTGTTACAGAGCGTGTTTTCCTATTGCTCACTTGCATGACAGCAACACGAAACACACTCCCATCAAAAGGAATCAACTGTTCACTGAGTAACTTTTACTGGTAATCTACTGTGAACATGGTCTCAAGATTTTATATTTCATGATTTACCTGTTACAGTTTCAGTTTTATCTTTTCCTGAAAACACAATGGGTCTGGCAGCAGGTACAGGAATTTTGCGTGCTTTGTCCTTTGGAGCAGCTGGTACAGTCTCTGATTTTGGCAAAGGTGGGATAATTTCAGCCTTCGGTGACGGAGGTAAAATAGCTCCTGTTTGTTTGGCCAAGTAATTGAGTATGTCTTCTTTAAGGATTCTGTTATCTTTCCCTGTTCCAACAACTTCACTCAATTTAATCTGAAAAGTACATAACAAGCCTTCGTTTTACAGCAATATAAAAATATCCTATATTGTGAGCTATGGTTAAAAATTATTCCAGTTATTGATCTAACATACCTACAGTTTTCTTGCCCTTGCCATGATTTATTAGGATCAATAGTGAAATATTAATTTGAGGAAAGCTATTTGTCACTTAATTTTCTCTACTTATTGTTTTATTTTTCTCCTAAAAATGCACCACAAGCTTTCAAAACCAATGGAATACTCATAGATTCACAGGAAAAAAGAATTGGAAAAGCGCTTAAAAGATCACCTAGTACATCCTCTGCTCTAATACAAATCTGAAAGGCAGAACAAGGTAGCTAAAGCTGAGATTCTGTTTTTCCCTCCTCCTTCCTCTGTCCCAGGAATCTATTCTGATACTTTATTATTTTTATTCTAAAAAGGTTTTCTTAATCTCCAGCCTAAGGCACCCTAGCTGCATTTTAAGCCCAGTAATTCTTTTCCTATCCACTGTAATCATCAGAAAGCACAATCCTTTTCATAACAGTTTTTACACATTTGAAATGTATTTGAAAACAAGTCATTTCTCACTGCACTTTCCTCTAGATCAGTGTTCTCCTACTCAAACTGCTACATAAAAGATGGATAAAACGCAGCAGGACCTGATTCAGCAAACTTACATTGTTCTCCATGGCCAGACGACGAACTGCAGGGGTTGCTAATGTTTTGTGACCTTTTATCTCTTGGTGAGTGTGCTCTTCATGTGACATAGGAGGTGTTTCAACAACATCTTCTTCTGGGGCAACACCTGGAAACAAAAAGAAAAATAATAAGCATTTGTTAAATTCCAGCCTCAACCATTCCGTGATCCTGTGACAGCTGAAGTTTTTAACATTTACTTTGGGCTATGGTGGATGGGAACATAGCATGCTAAAGGCTGCTGCTTAAGCTAAATTTTCAATAGGAAACGTCTGGCTTTTGAGATTTTAAATCCCAATAAAACATCACAGTTTTTTCTACTCAATTTTCTTGACTTTGTAAAGGGAAAAAAATAATCCCGATTTAAGATTTTTC